CCTCTCTTGTCCTTGTACCGCCAACCCTGTCCAGGCCTGGTAGAGGAGGCTGAAGAGGGATGCGGTCTCGTCGTGCGAGACCGAGGGAACCGGGAGGGTGCACTAGAGGGAGGGAAAGGGGAGGGGAAGAGGCGCGGGGAGGGGAGGAAGGGGAGAGGACGTCACCGACACGCATCCTTCACAGCCAGGAGGAGCAAGCGATGGGAATGAGGCGTGGACAAAGGCCAGTGTCGTTTAAACGTACAGCGGAGAGCTTGGTCAGGACGCGATCCAGGGCCGTCGTCGCCCCCCCCTCCTCCTCTCCCCGTTCTTCCTCCTCCGCTTCCACCGCCACCTTGGCATTTCCTCGCTGCCCCTCCATTCCGTCTTGTCCATCCTCGGCAAAATGCTTGGCCAGTGCTTGCGTCGCCCACATTATTTCTCCCCATAATTTCAGATCGGAACGCCGATACTCCAAACCCCAGGCGTCTTTCGGCCCTCTGGTCTTCCTCCCTCCCTCCCTGGGACCCTCCCGGCCGTTCGCACCCCTTTGATTCCGTCGCTGCTGCTGTTTGAGGTAATGCTGATGCTCATATCGAGCCTGCTGTATTTGGGAAGGGAGACGATCATGTCCTGAGGATAAAGTACGCATGGTTGACTTCTTTGGCTGCTCCCGAAGTTCCCGTCCATCGTCGCCACCTTCCTCTGTCTCGTTGCCTCTGCCCCCCAAACCCGGCCGCAGCGCCGGCGCTTCACCATTGCGACGTCGTTCGACGGCCTTCCTTCTCGGCTGCATCGTCTCTTGGCCATGAATGGCGCCGGAATCATTGTTCCTATCGGGCCATCCCGTCGCCTGCCCGTCCCGCTGGGCTTTGCTGTGGTACATGTGTGCACCGTCTAAGCTTGCCATATTCTGAGTTCCATGGGATCCCACGCCTTTAGGAACAAAGACGACAACATCAGGAAGTATGACATAATATCGTGGTGCCTCGATGCGTCGATTTGTCAGAGTACGGAGTTATATTTTTTCCCGGTCCTGACCCTTCGCTCGTTTGCAACGCGTCGTCCCCTGCGAGCAATAGGAAGTAGATACAAAGATCTGAGCGACGTGTAGGCACGCAAAATCTTAAAGGCAAGTAAAATGCAGTCCTGCAACATCTTTAAACTTTGCCGCGACGGGATTTTCAGTACTCAATTAACCCGATAAGTTTCATCGCTAAGAATAGAGGAGGTTACTTGCCAGTGGTAGTACTTCACGACTTGTTTTCTGAACACGGCCCTCCGACCTCCCGTAAAAATAATCTTGTGGCAGCAATGCTGTTACAAATCCTCCCAGCCTAAGAAAACTATGTGAAAAGATGCCAACAGGTCTTCCAGATTGAAGACAGAGGTTTCCATGCGCCACGCCTCTCACAGGCCCGCCATGAGATAGTATTTTCATGTGACATGCAATAGGTAATACACATTTTTATTGCAATGTTTTACCGTGTAAATTGCTCTGATATGAATGTTTGTGCTGTTTCTGGATAGGAGAGAGAATTGCTCTGATATGAATGTTTGTGCTGTTTCTGGATAGGAGATACTCATTATTATTTTCAGTGATCAAGTCCGTGCGGCACAATCCTCCCAGCTCATGAACCTATGGTTCACTCGACGTCAGGCAATAGCGGTGTGGACACCCGCAGCTTAAATTTGTACGAATTCTTGAAGGAAAAGGCTGGAATCAACTTTTCATGATTCTCCTATTTGATTTGTTTGTTGGTTTCCGGTTTGTCAGCTCTCATTCATATTTCTGCACCCTACTTAAAAAGACATACCGCTTTTCCCCCAACCCGGTCTTTTCGTTCGCTTGCAAAACTCAGGTCTGATGACAATCCCACAGCTTTCTCAGCTCGTGTTTGGGCTCAAAAATTACAGAAAAACCTGGTTGAGAGACGAACGCTCTCAACCCTTTTTTTAAAAAGGAAGGCACTGAAATGCTCGCGCTCGGATCTCTCGACTCACGCCTCCGTCACAGCCAAGAGAGCGTCTGGAACCACCTCCACATGAAAAACAAAGTTTGCACTTGCTCGGTCGAAATCGAGGACCGGCATGGCAAAAAATGGCAACTCTCCTTCGCCCAAATACAAACTACTCATCAAAACGATTGCACCAGCATCATCACCACCTCTCAGACACTCCACTCAAGCTCCGCCTGGTCTTTCTTCTTTTCCGTCTTCCTCTCTTTTCCAGTCCATGAAACGAAGGCTTAGGAGAAGATTTTTGAGTTGGAGATCAGCTCTTGGACGACCATGCCCGCCCAAGCAATCATGGCCAAGCGACCGTTGTTGAGCTCCTTGGAACGCTGGTTGATGAACGCGTCCACGTCCGCCGTAGGAGCCAGGCCTGGAGGAAGAGAAAGCGGACGAGGGATTGGTGAGACCGGGAGAGGAGGTTCGGGGGTGACAGGCCCCCCACGAGTCCGACGTTCTTGGGCCCATCTGGCGTGGCTGAGCCGGGAAGCGACCGCCACCGCTCCACGACTGTCGGGCAATGCAACGTCACGCAAGAGCCCCACAAGACCATCACATAGACCCCTGTGGTAAATAATACATCGAAACTTTCCCTGTTTCCCGCCCCCCTCCCTCCCTTGTGGTCCTTGGTCCTTTCCCTCCCCGCCACTCACCGAGGGGGTCGAACTCCAAGTCGCCGGCCACGTACGTGTCTCGGAGACCCGCGATCGTGTTGCCGCCTGCAGAGAAGAAAACAACATAGGAAGTTTGTGAGGACTCATTCGCTCACCTACCCTTCGACTGCGGAACCGACGACTTAGGGCCGGGGCCCCACACCCTCCGACCCCTATCGCCGAGAATTCGACACGCATACACAGGGAATCGACGGGAACCTGACACCCCAAAAACCGGGAAAACTCAGGAGAAAAAGAGAAAGGGTAAAACGCAAAAGCCTGGCAGGGCGTTGACTCACCGGCGCGCATTTCCTCCGGAGACTCCCAGCCTTTGCTGATGGTGAAGGACTCGACGATGGCGATGCCCAGAATGAGGAAAACGAAGAGGAAAGGGTTGAGGGCCTCCAGCTCCTAGAGACGAGGGGGGGAGCATGGACGGACGCGGGGAAACAAAATGTGAGAAAAGGCTGCACGGCACATGTACGCCCAGTAATACCCAGGCCCTCTGGTCGGTAGTTCATATACACATGTATGTGCGTATATTGAGCCAACAAAATACGGCATTGAAAACCACAAAGCTTCTAGAAACACTCAGACAACGAGCGGGTACCTGGAAGTGGAAAATGGCGGGGCCAGGGTCGCTGCTGCCGGTCTCGGGGTTGTAGAAAGGCGCGAAAACCTCCTGGAGGAGGACGCCGACGACGGCCAGCATGGCAACCCGACCTGAGACGGCGTAAAGGGGGGGCAAGAGGGAGGGAGGGTGCAAGGGTAGGGTAGAGAAATAGAGTGACATTAGACAGACGCAACCAGGATGGCGGCCCATGACAGAACAAATTTCAAAGGCACCCATGCCCCTCTCGTACTCTCTGTCATGAAGACACGTACCGTGCTTGACCTCGGACTCGCGCCACTTCTTCAGTTCCTTAAAGGTCTTCCCGGTGCTGGAGGCAGGCGGCGAGGGCGAGGAGGAGGGAGGGAACCAGGGAGGGAAAGGTGGTGGGAGCATGTTGTTGGAAGGAGGAAAGGCGGAAGATGAGTGGAGCTGATGGTGTCAGGCCCGCGCGCAACCCTTCCCATGGCAAGGATCCTTTCCTAGCTACGCACAGGGCGACTCCTTCGATTTTTCACCCCAGAGACACCGACGCCGTATTGCCGGGCCCTATCTCTAGCCTTTCCCGTTTTATCATTTTTTTCATCTAATTCTTTCCTCTTTCTCTTCCCTCCCGCCTCCCCCTCCCTCAAACCACATCTCCCCGACGTACCTGAGCCCGATGGGGTCAAAGAAGCCAAAGGGAGCCGTGGCGCCCGCCTCCATCACCTCGCGGTAGGCCAGGCTCTTCTTGTCCACCTGAGCGAGGGCACGAAGGAGGGAGGGAGGGAGGAAGGGAGGGAGTGAGGGAGGGCGAGGAGAGGGGGTGAGAGACCAGGAGAATGCTATGAGTGTCCAGGTTCTGGGCGGCTTTTCATCCATAAGTAGAAAAAAGAAGGGACATGTAAGCCCGCTTTCCTCTCCTTTCTATCTATCCAGTGATTTCCCTACCTCCTTAGACGCAGCCGCGGGGGCGGCGACCGCACCGGGGATGAGGACGGAATCGATGATGTGGATGATGCCGTTTGAGGCCTCCACGTCCGTCGCCACCACGTTCGCGTTGTTGACCTAAGGAGGTGGGAGGGGGAGGGGAGGCAGTGGTCAGAACGCGAAGTTCCCGTCAGG